TTCCAGTATATGCCTTAACAGTTCATCGGTCACAAGGTTTCTCGTTCGATCAATTGGCAATTAGACTTCTCAGAGGAGAAAAGTTGGATGCCAGCAGGAGGAGCATATGTCGCTCTGTCCAGATGTCGCTCAAAATCAGGGCTATGGGTAAAAGGAATGCATCAGAAGTGCGTGGTGATCAGCCCACGAGCACGAGCCTTTGAGCAATACATTGATAAGATTGCTGGAGTACATCGGCATCGCATTATTAGGATTAACAATTCAGACAAAATCTGGGGCCACGCAATTTCGATGCCACCGACTAGCAGCGCGCTTTGTATACTATGCTCTGCTGACCAAGGCAGGAAGAGGAAAACGAACAATATGGGAAATGAAGACGCTCGTGCAGATTTTGGATGAATTCAGAAACACTGGAAGAAGCATCGTACACAGTAGCAACCTCTAAAATGCGACTTTACTGTGTACACAATAAAGTCGCATTTTAGAGGTTGGAGAGCAAGACGAAAACAAAGCATCAGTCATTTTAGCACAATACGAAACCAGTAAAGCGATCAACAACCTCACATCTATTGAATCAAACTTTCACCGTATTAACGTGGTGATACAAATCTCTATACTTTCATTGTCATTGTCGGAAATGTCGGCAATAAGGCATTTCCATGCGAATCCAACTTGTATCTCAAAAATGGTTAGCATCCGCAAAGTAGATAATCATGCCATTGGACCATGCCAATTCCCCAGGTAATGCACATCGAAAGTCCTTCTAAGCAACATGTTTCAATACTACACTACACAGAACAATATGACGTGTAATAAGCCCCCCATTGAATACTTTAATGGGGTTTCGAAGGGTATGTGCGGCACCTGCGTGCCATTTTGGATAACATCCCTTTATGGATACTCCTTTTTACAGTTGCCCTTTATAGTGTTCTTCCTTTTGTAACATCTTTGCATGTGTATCACGATGAGGTAAAGCATTTCAAGACCTTCTGAGCCAGCATTTAAGTGGACTCAACACTGAATAAACAGAGAGTCAAACGACTACACTCCCAACTTTCATTTATTCGCGCAGAAGCCAAAGTAAGCACCCTTAACATGTGCTGAGAATGTTATACCAGTATTGACTCATTCAGGAAGAAATGCGTTAGTCCGATTGCTAGCAATGGAAAGCCTCTAAATAGAAGAGTAACCTGACATCTACTACCATTTGCGAAAGAGATAAACATGTCATTGCACCATGTCAAAGCCTGAGGTAGTAGTCATCGATAGTCCTTCTAAACAGTACAATTAAGACCCACACTAACAAAATACAAATTTGACATTTGCTGAGAAGTTACGGCATTTGACGTGTTGCCAGCGTACTGATTATACATATCAAGTGAAGTTTGTACATAGAAGAGAACAGTTCGGCTCCCATTGGACAGGTATTCCTCTCCTCATCAGAACGTCTCTTTTTAGCTTTACGCGAAAGATTAAAAAAGTTGCAGCTAGAGTTGTGAAGAGACCGAAGCTCAAGCACTTAGTCAGAGAAGCAGTTTCGAGCTTCTAAAGCGACCATTTGGCATTCGTGAGAGCCGTCAACCATGAGCAAATGGGCTTATCATAGCCCATCAATTCTGAGAATATGTCAGCAATTCTGAACGGAATTGATGAGCTCTATTGCACCTTGTGGAGTGACAAGATAAAATGTCTCATAATCAGGCTCTGAATCCAGGCCGAAATGTGATGCGTGAAACAACGGTGCTTGAGACCATCAAATTACCTCTAAATTGTCAATTATTTGAAGGGCTTGGCGGCTTGCGTTGAAGGGGTCGTCCACCAGTGCTTTAAGGCCATCAATTCGGAGAAAAATTGACGGACAGGGCGGGAACGTCAGGAACGACTTCTACTTTGAAGTGCTGGACTCACAAGTGATCGTAATTTGAAACAGGATTAATGTAGGTCTTCTGGATTTGTTATGATCAACTTCAAAATTATTTTAGTGTCTACATCCTGCATGCAATTGTTTCCAACCGACTACAGTAAGCGTTTTGGCGGTTTCTGTAAGTTGAAAAAGCAGCTCATTTTTAGCAAATTTCAACTTGCGCCTTGTTACACCGCTATCCCTGCGCTACGAATCGGGGTGAAATGGATCACCGGAGGTCTCGTCATCGTTTCACATCCTGCACCGATTCCTGATCCTGCTCGTTCCACCTCCCATCCCAGGCAGTAGTTAAGTTTCAGTGTGACTTTCTACGGAAGCCTGCGTTACTCCGTGTGACGTTCTCGCGCTGTACGTACTTGAAGCACTTATCATATCCACTCCCCACTCTTCCTTCCCCTTGCCCCTCCCCCTCTCACACCCCCCCTTTGCCACCCTACTTTCTCAAAAAGTGTTCCCCTATCATACCTCTCTACCCCCCACAATTGTGGGTCTCCAATTTCCCGTATTGCCGCCACTTCCCGTCACTTCTGGCAGAGTGGGAAAGCCTTAGCTACCCCTTTTCATTCTCACACTCTCCCCGACTCAACAACTTTCACCACAGTATCCTGTGTTAACCCCTTTATCCCAACAAACAAGTATGCCTCTCAATTGCAAAGCAAAGCTGGCGCGTCGTGTGGCGTTGGGGAATGGAGATAGCCCCATGGCTATGGGATACTGTGGCTACTTGCAGTATTGTAGAGTGGTAAATATATAATTTTCGAACGTCCACCACTTTTTGATAGAGTGGTGGAGAGGCAATTCCTGGCTGCACCCACTCTGTACAGTTGTGGGTTTTCCGTGAGACATATTGTTTCAGGAATGTGTTTGTTCCCTTCAAACTACGGCGTGCTACAATGTGGTGCGTGTGGCAAATATTCAGCATCAGCTGGCTTCGGTTCAAATCTCCCCGTCGCTTGTCTCCTCTTTTTTCTCCCTACTAGCTCTCCTCTAAGATGTATAAATACCTAAGTCCCTTTGGGTTTCCTCCCATTCTTCGCATCGTTCTGCGCCTCTTTTCTCAATTCTGCTTCCTCGGTGTTTCACTTCGTAATTCCCTGACAAGTGCAATGTCATTGCACATCCCCTACGTGCACTATGTCCTCCGCGATCTTTCGCTTATGCATTTGTTACTTCTTTGCCCATGATCCTTCCTCCTCACGATTCAATGTCGCACTCCCTTCCCTTTGTCTGCCTCCTCAGTATATGTGTGTGTTTTGTCATACGCACACCTTAATCTATGCTCGCGGCAATTCCGGCTCATCGCCACATTTCATACTCATTCATTCAATTCATTACACCTAAACATCATCATATACAGTGGTGGCAAATAATATAGCACATGTTGAGTTTGTGAATGTCCAGCTAGAAGTATTTCTTTATGTTCGAAAAGGGCGGCAACACTGCTGGCACAAGCGACGCTGACACCAATCCCGCTGTCCGTTTTGCCAAAGCTTTAATAAATTCTGTGTTATGATAGAAAACGTGCAGAACCCCCGGCAAAAATGATAAAACCACTTTGAAAGAATGCTAACTGTGACGCTCGCAGAGACAAAACCGTTGACGTTTAGTAGTCTATATTTTTACACCTAGCTTGTAAGACGTCTATGCATCGTTTCTGCGCCGAGTTGACCAAGGATTCCAGCGTTTCAGTTGATAACTTGTTCCAAGCTGCGACGATACAGTCCACGAGAGAGTTACTGTCCTCAAACTGCCGTTGATTGGCATAAACCTTTCTGACCAGTATCCCCCACAGATTATCGATAGGGTTGAGATCCAGAGACTACGCAGGCCAGTCAAGAACGTTTATAAAATTGTCTCTGACCCAAGCTTTTGTCACCGAAGACCGGTGGCAAGGGGCTTCATCTTATATAATATGCAATTGCATAAACGTCTAATTAAGGGGAATGTCGTGCGGAAAAGAAAGAAAATGCTCTCGTTGTGTGTCGACATACTTGATACCGTTATGATTGCCACTCAGTATCACTAGAGATAACGTTCTCTGGCCTGCAAAACAACCCCAAACCATGACGCTGCCTTCTACGCTGTGGCGCTTCGAAAAACACTGCTTCTCTCTTCGCAAATCATGCCATTCGTGCGCCAGCCCGTCAGGTCCGTCCAAATTAAATTCCTTTTCATCGGACCACACGATCCTTTCCCACTGAGAGCGCGTCCAAGTCATCTTCTCCATAGACCATGTTAGGCGTTGTTTTTCATGGCGTTATCGCGTCGCTGGGGTTCTTTGCAGGCGCTTGCACCACAGATGCGAGGTGTTCTGCAGCAATTGGCGGACCCTACGGGCTTTGACTGAGACTTGTAGGGCCTTGAAGATAGCAGCTGAGCTCAAATTTCCTTGTGACGCCGCACGAATTACTCTTCTTTCACAAAATTCAGTTAATTTTAGGGGTCTTTTCGGACTTTCCGTGGTACCGTACCGTGCTCCTTGCTTCAGAAAAGCATGTACTACCTTCCTAGAACGGTCCAGCTCCCTGGACATTGCTGCAACTGACCAGCAGTTTGAATGGTGAGCTAAAATTTGTCCCTTCTCAAAGTCTGTGACTTTTCTTGCGAGCCATGCTGGAGTTCAAACTGCTTCTCAGTTCTTTGGGAATTGAACACGGTAGCTTGCAACTCTTTATAAGCATTACATAGGTTGAGTTTCGCGGGAATCGTGCGAACAGTTTCTGCTTTGTGGGGGGTTTGACTTCAAGTGTTACTATCCTTTTTGCCGGGGGTTCTGCACGTTTTCTATCATAACGCAGAATATATTAAAGCTTTTGCAAAACGGACAGCGGGATTGGTGTCAGCGTTGCTTGTGCCAGCAGTGCTACGGCCCTTTTCGAGCACAAAGAAATACTTCAAGCTGGACAAACACAAACCCAACATGTGCTATATTTTTTGCCACCACTGTATTTCACAACAGTATCTTGATGTTGAATTACATTACAGTACAGCATACCTTACTGTTAACAGTAAGGTATGTTGTACTGTAATGCAACTGTTAACATTAACTCCCTGATGTCCTGTGTTTTCATACCCCATGAATAGAATAGTGTGTCCCTTCGAGCAATTCAATTGGCGTAAACATCGAGTACAGTATTGCACAGGCATTCAAGAATACTTCTCCAGAATTTTTTGGGGTTCTTGAAAAACTACAGAACTGGCGGTAAAACAGAACAATTGCGTTGGGCTGAAGCGCAACATCATTGGCAGCTGCCGAAGGGTATCTACGCCACCGCCTTGGCCGCCGGTCGGTGTGCCAAACACAATCATTCCATCTTCATTCATACCCCACGATGGGGAAGACAAGCTTGGCTCATCTAAGACTCTGAGTAGCTTCAAGGCACATGCACTAAGGGCTTTCAAACATGGCGGCGAAGCGCAAAGACTATTCCATGAACGAGCTCAACCAGCAAGGAAAACGGGTCCGCATTGAGTCAGTGCTCCCGGTGCCATCGGCAGGAAGTTCCAAAGGGCATGTGTCGCATCCGAGTTTAATCTCATTTGCAAAGTCCTTATCACCTGAGGAAGTAGAGCGAACAAGGGTGAAGCTCGTCCACAGAGAAGGTGAGCCAAAGCAGGATGGAAGCTTTGAAATGATTGCAGAGAACGCCGGCAGGGCATGGACCGCGAAGAAGGGTTTCAACGAAATGAATCACGATTACTTCATTGGGATTCGAAACAAGATGAACAATACCCTTAGTCTCGTTGCTGTCGACGGAATGTACTCCCTGCGCCCATACATTGGACGAAGGTTGACGGAGAACCCAGAGATTCCTCCCGAAGACATAGAGGAACAAACGTACGCCGAAAAGCGCGCCGAGTTGTTGGAAAAGTTTGGAGGGCGAAAATCTCAGCGCCGAGAACAAAAGTTCTTGAGGAATCGTATCACAGATGATAACGTGGACGACAAGACTCAAGAAAATATAAGGGAAGCTGCGAAGCAAATGTTAGAGAAGGACACATCACAAGGGATTGTTCATGTCTTCCAGCAGACAACTGAGTCTCTGGCCCCACCTCACGATAATAGCGCCACAACTCCGGAGCTCGCGTACCCCCTGGAGGGCCTTGTCACACCCGGAGAGTTACAAGCGCTTGAACAGGAAGCACGAGCAATGATGCAGACTTGCTCAGATGGAACGGGCAACATTGACAATCCCGGATGGCACCCGCTTGTGTGGACTATTCTCTTGAGGATCATCCGAAATGCAGACCTGACAGCGGATGCAAGATTACCACGAATACAGGCGGCAATGCATCTTCACTATTTGATTGTATTGACGGGGACGACGGACAAAATTTTTCGAACTACCCGAGTGGAGTTGATGCAGTCAATGGCGGTTGATGAAGGGATTCTTAGTTGTATCTTGGATAGATTTACTGTGAGCGACGACCGGCCGCACGTGCGAAAGAAAACGCAGGAAGACGTTGTTCGGGCAGTCCAGTATGGCATCGTTATGTGGTTGACTGCCTGTGGGTTCCGAAAATGTGGTGATGTGGGCCAGTTATCGGCAGCTCTTGGGATAAGCTCGAAGCTACTACTCAAACACGCGATTCAAATAGGGTGCAAACTCCGTCGGAAGCCGGAACAAAGGGATGCGAGCGACTGCTTTGTTTATCTGAAAGTGCCACTAACGTTTCCGAAAATCAGGAAGAGACAGGGAAGACCCGCCAAGCGAGGATGAACACCAGCATGCAAGGCGTGTGTTCTACCGCAGTGTAGCAAGCGAACCGTGTATTCAAAAGGCGGACTGATTACATGTCGTGCGTTGAAAGTTATCCGCGTTGCACGCCGCTGCGAAGCAAGACGGTCGCTTTGATTCTTACAACGGAAAAGACCATATCAACTCAGCAAGACATGGCGATTCAATGAATTTGTCTGATTTACGGTTTTGATTTCTTCGGACTTCCTTGAATAGTGACCATCAGCCGTCTAGGACCGCCGTGAAAGCGGTGCTCGAGAAGCCACAACCCTTGCCAAGTCCCAAACGCCAGCTTTCCATTCGTTATTGGTATGGAAACTGATGTATTGGTTAAACTACTCTTCACATGGCTGGCCATGTCATCAGGGCCCTCTTCGGTATGGCGAATGGTTGGGCACCCCGGGTCACCGACATCCGGCACAATTCTGTTGAGATGTGTTTCCATATCGTGTAAAACATCAGGATCTGCGTTTTCGCTTATTGTTCTGGTGAGGAGTTAACAACATAGATGAATCAACAGGTTTTAGGAACAACGTTGCAAACGTTAGTTGAAAATATTGGTATTTCCTTCATGTTTCGTATTTGATAAAGGATTCCGATTTTGATCCCAACTTACAAACTCTACGCATGGTCTCCGCGTTAGTTTGCGTGAAATACAACGCGACGGAAATGTTAGCTGTCTGGACTGCCATGTATTACGTGTAGGCAAAAAGATGAAAGGCTATCTACAAATCAAACCTGCGTGAAAACATACCGCAGATGTGTGCATTATGAAGACGTGACAAATCCCCACTTCTAAGCCAGAGAGCTCGTTCCCTATCGCCGATAAAAGCTCGGAGGTGATGAGATAACATCCCCGAGGCTTTTGGCGTAAGGAAACCTGTTTCTGGATCCAAACTGGAGTGACAGCAGCCATGGCTTGGGAGTCCAGGTGGGGAATTTATCCCTCTTGGAGAGCGATGATAGATAATCGGGAGAGGCGAGGGGGACACGTACCGAACCCGCTAGTTATTTGAAAGCGCAACAGTTCCACTTTACCCGGAGTTAGGATGCTCCCGTGGTAGTCATCAGTATGCAGATGATGATTTAGCTCATTTACACGTGTGAACACGTTTGTGCGAATAGTGGTGCTTGCCGTTATATTGTTGTACAGTAGAACAGCAGTTGTTGACGAGGCGAATCACACGAGGCCCATGGACTTATCGTCTGGGCTTCGAAAACGATTGTTTGCATCCAGTTCTAGATTTAATCTTCAAGCACTGCACACATCCCCACAAAGCTCTAGCCTTTCCGCAGCTTTGAATAGCTGCCTTCTCGTGGAAACAAGTATCGCAGACAAGGGGCTATCAGATGAGTGGAAGACCGTCTGTAGCCGTGTCGCTAGCGCAACAGAAACCGAGATGGGAGGAGTGACAGAGGCTGTGCCGGAGTTGATGGCATTGTTGGAGGAGACCATTGCACTCCAAGCAGAGCTGAAGGGTAAGGCATGCGATACTTCGCGTTCAGCTGTAGGGATATTGCAGAGTAAGCTTCCTCTCGTGCACTGATGTACTGACGGTATCTTGGCGATGTCAACTGCTTTGGTGATTGCACAGAAATACGAAACGCACGGATGCTCGAGAAGCAAGATCTCGAAAAACTTCAGCGACTAGTCGTGTTACTTTTGACGTTCTCAATCATTTCCGTCTTTCTTGTCTTGTTCACTATGTTAAGGGAACGATGTTAACGGAGGAAGCACGCAACAAATTTACCGTAAGCTTTGAGATGTGTCTAGGTGTTGGAGCCACTGCGACGACCCGACAGCAATCTCCGCGAAGTTGGCTTGTATCAACTGACTTATAGGAGACCTACCACCGGTGAGGACGTGAGTTGATGACAATGAGGTTATCGTTTCCGGCGAGCGCACCAGAGGAAGATATGTAACATTACAATAGCCAGTCAGAGTTCCTTTTGCAGTCGCATCAACGTTTAAAATTTCAGTAAAGAGTGGCACACTGAATCAAAGCCTCGGTATGCATACCAGATCGCTCGAGTGCCTGCAGGCGTGCCGCCTCTGTCATGGCAGAACGCTCGTCGGTCTGGATCTTGTCCGGGTATCTACCCCATAGTTTTGGCACAAAACACGGAAGCGAAAGCCCTATTCAAAGCGCAAAAATGAGTAAATGCATGAGATCCTCGTCAGTCATCTGCGCGTTGCTTCACCTGTAACGAGTTTGAAGCAAGAGCATCGATGTCAACCACTCACCTACAGCACCGATTACAATCGAAAAGCATACAACCGGTTCGTTCGCCCATGCCTTTCGTAGGAAGATTGATATTCCGCTCATCTCGGGTTAATTGACGTAAAGGAACTTTTGAATGGGGTAAGCTCCACTTGTGGTCGACTTCGATAGAATCCAAATGCTGGAAAGGATTTCAGGGCAAGGCAGTACACCTGATGAAGGGCTGTCTGGTTATCACGATTATTTTGCCGAAATAATGAAACCTTTTAAGCGAAGTTTAGGCATTTTCTGGGCATTTCATCTCCCAGTTCACGTTTTCACTGGGCCACCTGGCGCTGCACATGAAACTACAGGGGGGGGAGGGGGGACTCTCATTAGTGCCACATTTGCTAATGCCACCCTCCCATTAATGCCGGCCAGACGTACGAACACGAAAAGTGCCACGTGTTACACGGTCCAGGTGTTATGCAGCCGTCCGTCCGTCCGTCGCGCGTGAAAACATGTGAAAGCGGCATTCCATTCGCCGAACAGCGTTCACAGACTTTAGCTTATCCTCCTTATGGATCCGGTTCCGGAAATAAAAAACGCAACGCGCAAGCGCCTGACAATAGCGCAGAAGCTAGACATTGCAGATCTGCTCGAAAAAGGACACTGTGCCGAAGCAATTGAGCGGCAGTTCGGCATCGCAGGGCGCACCGTGCGAAACATCAGAGCAACTGCTCCCAAATTACTCCGCGTAGCCAACAAGAAGCCCGAATCACTGCAATTGAAGACCCCTCAGGCCGTATGGGTCCCAAATCTAGAGGCTAAGCTGCTCGAATTTCTCATGTGGAACGGTGGGTAAATATTGAGTGCGACGAAAGTGTGGTAGAGGCGTTTGTTAATGATGCCATGGACGTTTTTGAGTCAGTTCAGGGTGTGACGAACACAACTACAACGCAATCAAGTGATGAAGATGGGAGCGCAGAGGACGCGAGAGAGCGAAGGACTGTCCCCTCTGTCGTTGAGATTGCGGAATTGTTTGGAGAGCTGGAAGATTTGGCTACTGAATGTCAAGTTTCAGACGCTCTATCGTATGAGGTCCGCAAAGCGCGCGTTTCTCACTGCAAAACACGACAGACCCAACGCGGAGCAGGCAGACGTTAATTACCGAATGCATGAAAATAGATGGGACGACGTCACCTATTAATGCCGTCTCCTAATAGTGCCAATTTTGGGGTCTTACACGGGGCGGCACTAATGAGTAGGGCCCTCTATATGTATACTGTACTATTCAAATACTGACGTGGACAGTTTGTACAGTACAGGTACAATATTTATTCAGCAACACCACAAAATGAATGGCATCATTCATTCCGTTAATTTAAAAAGAAAAGGGGCTTTGCAAGACCCCATGTACGGTAGGGGTACAGTAGAAAGGTTGGCAATTTGACTTGCTGGCAACCCCTCCACCCACGTCAATCCGTGTCACATCGCCTCCAAACATTTACCTCAACTTATCCGCCCGGTCTGTTGTGTGCGCACAGCGCACCCGAAGAGGGTAGGAGAAAGGCGGAAACCAGCATTGGTCTCCAAAGCACAACTAACGCCCACATCTTTGCTTCCATATTGCACCGCTCCTTCCGAGTCGTCCGATATTTCCACCGGCGAGGAGCATTTGAGAGAAACGCCGAATGCTGCTGCTTCGAGAACACGCACAGAGAATGGGGAATTTCAGAATTGCTCCCGTTTTGTGTGCATGCTTGGTCGTGGTGCTCTTTTTTACCAACGCTCGGGCGGGTTCGATGCCCGTCTCCGCCCCACGCACAATCAAGTCCACCATGCGCCAGTCAGTCGATGGTGACGGGTACGGCGGAGAGGGCTTCACCGTCCGTCCCTTGCTTGACGAAAGACCTCTAGCTACAGCAATCATCATCCACGGGCTCGGCGGAACCGGAGAGGAATGGGGTATCATGAGCCTTGGCATGTCTGTCTTCTCCCTCAACTACGTTAAATTCATCATCCCTTCTGCCGAGACAAAACCAGTCACCTACCTCAACACGACTATTCCAAGCTGGTTCGACATTCGAAGGATACAGGGTACGAATTCTGACGTAGATGAAAAAGACTTGCGTCAGAGCGTCGATAGGATTAACAGAATAATTGACGGTGAGGTTAGGGCTGGTGTACCTGCAGAGCGGATTTTCATCGTCGGGTTCAGTCAAGGTGGTGCCTTGGCTTTGACCACTTTTTTGAGAAGTAAGAGAAAATTAGGAGGATGCGTTGGTGTTGCGACATGGCTTCCTTTGCATAACTCGTACGCCCCATTTGGACCAGAGCCTGTTTCAGAAAACGTCAAGGGAAACAAAATTCTTATGATTCATGTAAGTCCCAATTATGCTCATGCAAATCGCTTTTGTGTGTTGTTGTTGAATCCGCGGTCCTCAAACATTCGCATCATCATCTAACATTTGTTTTCTACTATTTCTCGTCTTTTACAGGGGACGGAAGACGAGGCCGTAGACTTTCGCTACGGACGGCTGAGTAAAGACCGCCTCACTGACATTGGAGTGCCTGTTAAGTTTACCAGCATACAAGGAGCTCCACATGTCATTTTGTCTGCCGATGTGATTCGATTTATTGAAGATTACATCGCAAGCAAGGCGACAGGCACCAGAAATTTCCTCCGCACGCTTGTGTCGGACCTTACCATTACTTTTGGACGTCTCAGTAATCGCCTAAGCGAAAGGGAGCTTATACCCATACCATGAGTATCCCCAAATGTTGTCCTGCAGGAGTGAGCTTCTCTAGAGAAACAAAACTGCGTCCAGAAGAGTAACCCGATTGGGAAACGACAACATTTTGCACACACTAAGTCCTGTCCCAACGTGGTGGTCAGGAGGCTTCACTGCACTCTGCCTGTGTATGGCATGAAGAGGATTCGTTCGGCCGGTATAATTTTGACAAGGCTTGCTCATTGCTTGAGCTCCCAAATGCTTAATTTGTGGAGGACCGGAGAATCAACATTGTTTGATGTTACCAATGGCGTTGCAAGCCTTACCCTCCATGTCTCGTAATATCTCACTGTGATAGACGGTAATACTTTTTATTGGTGGCTGTGCAGCAGGCGCATTCTTCAAAAGCGGATCATGAATCTTAACGCCCTTCATTAAATAGCAACTAACGTTCAAATTATAAAGTAGTTCATCGGCAGCTCCAGCGAATGCAGCATAGGCCTGGTTCGCTCCTTACTTTCGATCTTTTCTTTTGTGAAGCTCTTTACGTAGAGAGGCCATTTCCTTGACAGCAACATGCAGAAACAAATGCTTCAACTTAACAAATGCAAAGACGAGAAACATAAGCTCATACATCTACACACCCCACCCTACGTAGCAGACAAGTACATGGCTTAAGCAGTGCGTGTGTATCCGGCTTAAGAAATATGTATATATCCGTGCCAACTGCGTCAGTATATGGCGCATGAAGAGGTTTACTATACACTGCTAGTCTGAACAGTCTTCAAAAAGATATTCACGTCAGGGTGGATGCAATCCGCACTGGAGAGTCACATCCGGAGGGGCAGACGAATCATATTATCACTACGGCTTGTGTTCTGCATCATACGAAGGAGGCCTCTATCTGCTCCGGAGCTATATAAAGACGACCACGTTTCTCGTAACGAACAGGGTAAGAGACTCCTATTTTGAGCAATATGTAATAGCTCCAAAACAGAGTGCTTCATACACACTAATACAATCGATTTTCCTCACATCGACGTTACAAAGCTTCACAATAGGCATTCGGGATGTCATCGCGAAAGGTGTGTAGTTGCATGTTCGTACCTTCTGGTTTTGAGACTGGCTATACAAATACCCAGTACTCCAACTGCGATTATGCTCGATCATGTTCGAAGTGTTTCGCTACCATTCTAGATATCCTCGCCTGATGTGGATAAGAGAATTGTTATGCGTGCAGAACGAAATGAGAGGGAATGTTCAGAATTAGGGCGGTTCCGCTGTTTGTATGCAATCATATACCCGGACATCGCCGTTTTTTTAACTTTGACTCCCTTCACATTTCTAGAGGAGTTATTTTTCAAGATGTGGACATGTATATGAAATACGACGATGGTCGAAGCAAAACACTGTGAGTAATGCAAATTTTGTTCTACCATTCACAGCTTTGCGTCAGTGGCACATTTTATCCTTGTGTTTGATTCTTCTTGCATTGTTTGCCCCTTCATACTTTCTATTACGTCAACTCCATTTCGGCTCGATGGAATCAGATATGTTCGCACTTGAGCAATGAGATAGGGCGGCATGAAAATCTCTGTGCTGCAAGGAAAAATTGAGCCCAGTAAAGCTGTGTACCTTTGGCAGGCGTATGAGAGAACAACTCTTTGGGGAATTATGAGGATAAAACGTATCCCAGATCTTGTAAAGGATTTCTTGTTTTCGCCCCGGGCAAATGGGTTTCATCTTTCTAGCACGTCCAGCATATGCCTCGAAGGCACAAATGTCTAGAGGATTGCAAGACACCATTACGTTAATAAGGATATACTTGCAGAATGATGTATTGCGGGAGAAAGAGTTACATCTTTTGTATGCAGGGCAATTGATAGTGCTTTACTGCACAGAAGGTGTTCATGAAAGTCTGGAAGTGAATGTCATATACTTTCGATTAGAAAAGAGGCGAAGAGGTACAGTACAAGAAAGCAGCCAGTGTGAGACAACTACTATTCAGACAGTGTTCTAGCATTGAAACTTTCGAGTCCATGAAGTCGGTGAAAGAAGATGCACTCTTCGCTCCAGGCTTGACAAGACAAGGAAACGTCGGATGTTTCTATCAATGTTTATTGCGAAATGCATAACAATGGCTCATTTCGTCTACTGTACTCCCCCTGCACTCTCCTCCGGGGGTGGCCCAGTTCAGTATTCTCTCCTCCCTAAGAGAAGCTCTCTATCTCTGTCTCCCTCTGTCTCCCTCGCCTACCCCTCCTTCGTCCCTGTCTCCCTCCGCCCCGCCTGACACCTCCCTTTCTCCACTTTCCTTTCGCCACGCTCCGGTGGCGTCGACTACACCTCCTCATTCGCCTCTTCCGTCAGACTTGCGTTTCGGTTCCCTATCATGGGGGCGCGCATCCCCCTTCCGGTTCGCAGTCCTGTTGTACACGTCGCCACGTGCTGCTCCGCAACAGTACGGTACTGTTCCTTTAGAATTTGACAAGTGGGCTCCGTGCGCGCTTCGCGCGCCAAGCCAAGTCCCTTCCTCCTCCGCTCCTCGTTCTGCACACGCTGTCGTTCCCCGCCCCGCTGCTCCCCCTCCCTCTGCGCTAACTCTCCCGTCTTCTCTCCGGTCTTTGTCGCCCCTTGCCCCCTCGTCCTGTCACACGTTACTCGCCCCTGCGCGTCGCGCCCGGTCCGCGCCGCCGCCCTCTGCGCCGCCGCCCGCCTGTGTCCCCTTCCCCCCCGGCCGCGGTTCGGTCCCTGCAGCCCGCAAACATGGTCAGCGCCGCTGCCCTCCACGCCGCCGCTTGCATCCGCCTAACACTGCTACCTGGCGGCGGCTCCCGGCACCCACCCGCCTGCGCGCGCCCTCCTGCACCGCCGGCTGCGACACCTGCCCGGCTCGCAGCGACCACTTTCCCCGTTCTTCGCACCTCCGTGATGCGCGCGGCCCGCGCCGCCGCCCTCCGCGCCACCACTCCCACCACTACCTCGACCGCCCCTTCCCAAGCGCACCCGTCTACCACGTCCCCGCGCCGCAAGCACACCCAGCCCACCAGCCCGCAGAACGTCTCTGCCACGCCCGCGTCCGTCCGCCCCGCCACTGCCACCCACCACGCACGTCGCCCGCCACATCTCGCTGCGCACAGCACTCTTCGCCGCGTGCTGCCCGCTCATGTTGCGCAGAAGCTCCACGCAGCTCGCCACCTTGCGCGCTTCGCCCGCCCGCCGGTCCAGCAGAGTCTCCGCAGCCGCTTGGAACCGCTTTGCGTGGAGCTGCATGCACACCGCGTCCGCGATCTCGCGCGCACGCCCGTCCCACCCGCCGCACTCGCCCACCACGGCGTCAACGCCTGCCTCCACTGCTACCCGGCACACCACGTCCATCACCGTCTCTGAGCAACCCAGTTAGCGCCCGCTCGCCGTCGCGCCTCCCCCGCCCCCCAACACGCGCGCCCGGTTGAAGCCCGCTCGCCGTCCCGCCTCCCCCGCCCCCCGGCACGCGCGCCCGGTTGAAGACCCTCGTAGTACTCCACGCCGTCCAGCTCTGGCCCGGTCTGCTCCCGCGCCCTCCGCTCCCCCACGCGCACGCGCGAGTGTAGTGATCCATGCCGCCCCGCCTCGGCGCCCCCACCGTCCCCATCGCTGCCCCAGCCCACATCTCCTCCACGTCATCGCCGCACACCCAAAACCGCCCTCCGCCCACCATCGTCTTGCAGCCCACCGTCCCTATCGCCGCCCGTCGCCGCCCCGGCCCGCACTTCCTCGTCGCCGCGCATCCACATCCGCCCCCCAAAGTCGGAGCACCACGCGCTGCACAACTCCGCCTTGAAGAATTCCGGCCCCCCCACGCACAGCCCCCTGCGCACCAACGCCCCGCCCACGTCGCCACGAGCCTCCGGTATTTCGGGTAGCCCCGTGTCTCACGCGTCCGCCCCCTGTCGTACGCGTCCATCTACCACACCGCCGTCACGTGCTCGCAGTACCCGCCCCAGTTCCGCCCACAATGTAGATCCGCGTGGCGCGGTTTAAACGGATCCGGGCTAAAATTTGTAGTGTACTGTAGCGCGGCCGCGCTCGGCAGTCCGCACAGTTGTTTTAATTTTAAAATTTAACTTGTCGCCACTTGTCAGCCTGTACTGTAGTGGGGCCCCGCCCCGCAGTCCGCACAGTAATTTTAATTTAAAAATGTTACACTTGTCGCCACTTGTCACCGCCACGTGTCCCCGTGGCGGCCTGGCCTGCGGCCAGGCCCCGCCCGTGGCCGCCACTTGTCACGGTAGCGCCAATGGCAACGCGGGGTCATGCGGAATTTTTAAATGACCCACGTAATTTCTGCCCATCCCGTAGCCACCACGTGTCCTTGGTGGCCGCTTGGCCTGCGGCCAGGCCGCCCCGCAGCCCCCCGCCACTTGTCACCGCGGCGCCGCCCCCGTGCGCCAATGGCAACGCGGGAGCGCAAGGACATACAGACAGACACACAGACAACGATTTTTAGTAGTTGTAGACAAGTGGGCTCCGTGCGCGCTTCGCGCGCCGAGCCAAATCCCTTCTTTCTCCGCTCCTCGCCCCGCACCTCCCGCTCCGCCGTCCCTTCGTCTCTGGTCCACCATCGTTGCCGGCGTTCCCCGCCCCGCTGCTCCCCCGTCCTCTTCGCTACTGCTCTCGTCCTCTCTCCGGTCTTCGTCGCCCCCTTCCCCCTCGTCGTGCCACGCGTACCGCCCCTCCGTGCTCACTCTGGCGGCAGGTCGCGCTGCTCTCGCCACACTCGCCTCAGTCCTGCTCGCCACCCTTGCCCAGGCCGTTACCCTGGTCGCTACGGTTGGCACTCCCGTCTGCCTCAACCTCCGTACTGGCGAACCCGTGGCCCCCCGCCCACACTGCCCCCTCCCTCTCCCCGCTTCTGCTCTCGACTTTTTCGCCGCCGCCCGCGTTGCCTGGTGCCTACGCCGCGAGGCGCTTCGCTTCCTCAATCCCCGCACTCTCACTTCCGTGCCTCTACCCTTTCGTTATTCTATGGCTCTCACGCTTTAGGCACACGCCCGCGCAATCACACCTCACCCGCCGCCCCGCCCTACTCCACCCGGCCCCTCTACTCGTGCGGCTCGCCCCGCTTCCTCCCGCCCTGCGGCGGCCTTGCCCTCTCCGTCGCCGGCCTCCGCCCCTGCTGCTGCTCTTGCCGCCCCCAAGTAACCGTCGCCTCGCGTGCCCGGGCTTGCACCCCCACCTCGCCTTCCGCTCCACCCATTTGGCCGCCTGCGCACCTCCCGCTCGGCTTCTTGCTCCGACCTTTGCAGTTACTGCTCCCGAAGTCCCCACCCTTGCTGCTGCTGCCGCTGCCCCTGCTTCGTCGCGTGCGCTCTCAGCGACTCTCCCGCCCTCCGCTCTCCTGGTTCCCCTCCCCTCCGGCCTCCTTTGACCGCCCTACGATCCCTTCTCCCCTTATGATACGCTTCCCCCATCCCCCGCCTGCCCACCTCTTCTTGATCAAGCCGATCACAGCCACCTTCCCCTCTGCACGCCGTTTCCGTA